CATCAGGGAGATGCAAATCAAAACCAACGTGTTTTGTAGCTACCCCGAAAGGAATTATCAAACAGATGGACAGTTGTAAGTGTTGATGACGATGTAGAGAAATCGTATGCAGCTGGTGGGGATGGACAGTGGTGTAGCCACTTTGGAAAACAGGCTGGCAGTTTGCAACTCAGCAATTTCACTCCTGGGCATATAACCCAAGAGAAATTAAAACATGTGTCCAGGGATGCCTGGGTGGCTCAGTTGGTTAAGCGGCTGCCTTTGGCTCAGGTCATGATCCCAGCGTCCTGGGATCGAGTCCCACATCGGGCCCCTTTCTTCGTGGGGAGCCCACTTCTCCCTCTGTCTCTGCCTGCCACTCTGCCTGCCTTTACTCTCTCTAACTCTCTGATAAATAAATAAAATCTTTTTTAAAAATCATAAAAATGTGTACACAAATGTTCACAGAAGCCTTATGTGTAATAGCCAGAGGGTGGAAATGACCCAGGTGTTCATCAGCTGTCACTGGATAAGTAAAATGTGGCATATCCATACAAGAGAGGATTATTTGGAAATAAAAAAGAATGATGTGTTGGTACCCTCCACAACAGCTTGGATGAATCTGGAAAACATGATGCTAAATGAAAGCAGCCAGTTGCAGAGGCTCACAATTTGCGTGTTCTATTTACACAAAATGTCCACAGTAGGCAAGTCTGTAGAGACAGAAAGAAGACTAGGGTGGCCCAGGGCTGGAGATGGGAAGCACAGGGTAGGACATTGAGGGTTGAGGGGTGCAGGGTTTCTCTGGGAGGATGAAAGGCTCTAAAATTGATTGTGGCAAAAGGTGCACCAATCTGTGAGTACACTAAAGCAATTGTACATTTTTAATGAGTGCATTGTGTGATTTATTTTCATTTTTTTAAGACTGATGTATTTATATGAGAGAGAATTTATATGAGAGCATGGGGTGAGGGGCAGAGGGAGAGGGAGAGAGAGAATCTCAAGTAGACTCTCTGCTGAGTGCAGAGCCCCATGCAGGCAGGGCTCAGCCTCACAGTCCCAAGATCACGACCAGAGCCAGAACCGAGAAATGGACACTTATCTGACTGAGACACCCAGTTCCCCTGAGCACAGTATGATTTATGGATTGTATCTCAATAAATCTATTTAAAAATGTTTATGTAGATATAAATGAAAAATTTGATAAATTGCACTTCACCCAAATTAAACACTTCTGCTCCTCAAAAGACACTACCAAGACACTTAAAAAGATAAGCCACAGAATGTGAGAAAATATTTATAAATTATATATATAATAAAGGACGTGTATCCATAATATATAAAGAACTCTCAAAACTCAACTAAAAAAGACTCAACTTTTTTAAATGGGAAAAAGACTTGAACAGGCATCTCCCCAATATATATAGACATGTGGCAAGTGAGCACATGAAAAGATGTTCACCATCACTCGTCATCTGGGAATTACAAATTAAAACCTCATCACACATTAGAACGGCTCAAATTTTTTCAGTGCATTGACAACACCAAGCGATTGGGAGAGGCCAAACAGCTGGAACTCTCATGTGTTGCTGGTGGGAGTGCAACATGATACGGTCATTTGGAAAATAGCTTGACAGTTTCTTATAAAGAGAAACATATTTTACCATACGACCTGCTGTCCTACTCCTGGGTATTTACTCTAGAGAAATGAAACACACATCTAGGAAAACCTGTCTGCAAGTGTTGCTGCACAGTGACTCTATTTGTAATTGTCCAAAAAATAGAGACACCCCAAATGGACCCCAGCTGGTGGTGAACGGATAAACAAAGCTTGGTGCACCATGTGGTTTCTTGGCAGTAAAAAGGAACTATCCTCAGATACACACAACAATATGGAAAAATCTCCAATGTGCTATGTGTTTTGAAAGAAGTCAGACTCAAGATACTACATGCTGTATGACTCTCTTTCTATGACAAGCTCTAGGGAGAGAAAATAGACCAGTGGTTGCCGGGGCCAGGGGTGGGAGGAAGGGTCACTGGAAACAGGCAGGAGAGAATTTTTTGGATTAAAGGCACCATTTTGTATCATGACTGGGGTGGTGGCTACTTGACTGTGTTTGTCCAAATTCATAGACATGTGTTCTAAAATAGGTGATTCTCACTGTATATAAATTACACCTTAATCTTAAAAAGTAAAAATATGTATTAAGTATATTAAACTCATAATTATTGTATAGTATATATAATACTTATAATTAATTAATTAAATTATTATTAATTAACTTATTACTTAAAATTAATACACTAATAATAAATAATATATTAATCTGGATGGTGGGAATATGGGTACTCATCATACAATTTTTTACAACCCTTTGGTGTGTTTGAACATGTTCCTAACCAGATGCCTGGCAAAAAACATCGAAAAGATGTTAGGGGGTTGATAAAAATAAATAAATATAGGCATGACCAAAATAAGCTAACAGTTGATTAAATTTTATAAAAAGTGACTCATCTCACCCTTCAAGGTTTAAATAATAATAAATATAATACTTAAAGCATTACAGGTCCACAGCATTGATTTTAAAAACCATTGATGGACCCTGACCTTTAGTTCAGAGAACACTGCTTTAAGTTAAGGCCCTTGAACTTGAAACTGAGAGAGCCTTGGGGAGATTGAGGTCCCCAGATGTGGACTGAGCTGGGCTGACTCCCCACTCTAGGACCAGGAGTAGTTAGAGGTCCCAGGGAGTCATTGTGGTTCGTGCCCTGCTCAGAGGGAAATGGCTGTCTGGTGTCCCCAGGGAAGTGGGACCAGGGAAAGAATCCCGTGTCCTGCATCAGGGGGCCAACATTGTGGTGACAGCAGAGTTGGCATTCTGAAAGTCATCACCTGTATGCATGAAAATCAAAACCTTCCTCAACCATCTGGACTGTATCAGACCTTGGATTTTCACGTGACTCTGGATGGAGGAGGGTTCTCAGGTTATGACAGAGAGTAACTTTCTCACCAGCCTGTCATTGGGCACACAGGGTCAGGCTTAATTTATTAGTAAAACCATACTTCCTGCACTTAAGACAATTGCAGTCAGGGAAAGATGTATCCCTATTATATTTGATGTATGTATCGCAGTTACATTTAATTTCAACTTCTGTAAAGGGATTCACGAATAAGAAAACAGTCTGCTACTTGAAAATGCAAGTTTGGAAACCTCTCATTCAGACTCATTTTAAGAGTTTCACCTACCTGTGGTCTTGAAGCTAAGATGATACCCCTGTGTCTTCTTTACTGACCCCTTTTCCTGATCTCTGTGCCTGTTTACCCAATGCTCAGAATTCTGACAGTTTTGAGAGGGAGCAAGTCTTTCATACTTCTTTGCCTTTGCACAGACCCTTTCCCTCTCTTGTCCCCTTGGTGAACTCCTATTCATCCTTCAAGACCCTGCTTAAGCTGCCCCTCATCTCTGGAGACTTACCTGGATCCTTTCTCTTTATGACAGTGGCTGTGATTCCTTTTTCTGCGTTTCTACCCATCTGTGCACACAGCTGTCACATCAGGCTGGCTTCCTCTCTGGATGTACAAAACCATAGGAATTTGTTGTTCCCAATAAAACTAAGCCTGATGCCAAGCCCTCATACTCAGAGTATAATAAATGACTTTCAGTGGTTGCTGAAGTCTCTCCCTGCTTCCAGGGTGACATGATGGTGGAAGCATCATACATAGGAGAAATGCTTACATAAAGTCCTCTGGGTTCTGATGCGCAAAACGCGCCATTGAGTGGCTATTGTCTGATTCTGCCTGCCTCCAGAAGGAGTTTGGGTGTCCTCACTGCTCCTTCCCTGCTTGGGCACCCCCTCCTCACATCATGCAGTCCCACTGGGGTCCTGTCACCTCCCACCACAAGGCAGAACGGCATTGTCGCATTGTCGCGCAACCCCCAAATGCCTCCGCCTCCTTCCCCGGGGTTTGGCTCCCTGCTTCTGCCCAACTATACTGCACCTCTCTCCCCGCCACCCGCCCCCTGTACACACACACCAGCACTTCTGTTCCCTTCCTTTCTGGGAGATTTCATTAGAAACAAAGTGCGGTCTGGTTTGTCTAGGGAAGGTGGGGAGAGATGCTGATGCCAGACAGTTTTTTGCTAACTCACAACGACCCTGTTACACATGGATTAGCACTTACCTCACTACATTACAGTGATTTATTTCCCTGCCTGGACCTTCTGCTGAACTGTGAGTCTTTGGAGATCAAGTACTATCTCATTGACCTTGCTCTCCAAAGAGAGGTGACCTTGCTCTCCAAAGCCAAGTGTAGGCTTTCCAATTGTGACAATGGCAAGTTTTCTAACCTCTCTGAGCCTCAGTTTTCCTGCCTATAAAATGGGGGCAGCAATAACACAATCTCATGGTAGTGTGATTGGGATGAACCCAAGTAATGCATGTTGATCCCTGAAAACAGTGCCTGACATGTATCAGTGACTCAATTGATTTTAACTGCTATAATACTTTTTATCCTCATTATTGTTAATTGCAGTAGTTGTTTGGTTGCCTACCTAACAGTCATTCCCAGCTCTTTTCTCCCACTACAGAAGCTGAAAATGTAAAGTACTCATCCCCTAGCCTTGCTTACCAGCTGGGCATGAGTATGTGACCCAATCTTGGGCAATAGAACTAGAATGGGAGTGTGCCAGAGGCTTCTGGGAAAGAGCTCCCCCTCTGATAAAGACAGGACAATGGAAAGAGATGTTGGACATTGACATGGAGAGAGGCGATGCATGGAGCTGTGGCAGCCATTTTGTGACAGGAGGGCAGAGCTCACTAGAAAAGTCAGTATGTGGAAGATGTCCAAGTGGAAAGATGGAAGAGTCAGGGATCTTTATGACATTGTTGAGTTGCTGCCCCAACCATGGAACCTCCTACCTTAGAACATTGTCAGATTCTATCTGAAATGTCCTTATTATGAAAGCCACTTTTTGTTGGTATGAGCCACTGAAACTCTTCCATTGCATATATTATTACAGAAATTTATGCTGCGTGACTGTTGAAAGAAAGCGGCAACACCAGGGTGGAAATCCTGGACTTCTGGAAGTTTGGGTAAATGGGGTTTTGATGAGCACCTCCTACTGTCCAGCCCCCACGCCCACTCGGGTTCACATTAGCACAAGAGCTGGCTGCCAACTGAGGTCATAGATGGATAATGCTTCTTGGCCCACTCATGTGTGTGTTGGCCTCATGCGTATACCGTTCTGCAGTGTGTTCATAGGAAAACCAGTAAAAATACACAGCAAATAAAAATACCAAAGAGAGGGGGAGTAGAATCACTCACAAGTGAATAATCCAAATTCCTCTGGCTTTGTGTTTGCTCAGTCTTATCACATAGTCTTGTTCATTTAATCTGGGGCATCCCGTAATCTCAGTTAGAACATTGGGTCCACCCAAAAGCTGTGGGCTGGCAAAGCAGCACTCCCCTGCTAACCTTTCTCAGTGGTCTTTCTAACTTAGTTGTGGTACGTTATTCATTCTGTTGTATCAAAGTCTCTGTCTCTCTGTTGCTGAGAAGAGGAGGGGCAGGGGTTACGCTTCTCTTGTTTCTGGTTAATTCTGTGGCTAGACAAAATTTCGTGGGAAAGAAGAATGCACAGCCTATTTTTACCACAACGACTACCGGTCCCGTGGTCATGCAGGATGTTGCAAGGATAACTGGCGTGCACCTTGTTCAGGCTCATTTACATCTCAGGTGGGGTGGTCCTACGGTGGGTCAAAGACAAGCTAAAAAGAGAGAGGTGGTGGATAAGACATTTGAAGGGCATGGCCGGTCTTTTAAGGATAGGTACCTGAGAAATACCATTTCTCTGCTTTCTCGAGCTCCCGTGTTCTCATAGGGGCTCACATTTCTCTACGTAGCGGAGGAAAATCTTTTCCCTTCTTGGCCTCCATGGTCTTCAGCCAGGCCTAATAATTAAACTGAAATAAGACAGATGAACAGGAGAAAGACAACCTTAACTTCATATGCATAGGGGCTCATAAAAATCTGAGACTCCTAGAAGTGACCAGAGCGGGCAGCTTTTTATACTTTTTAGACAAAGACACGATACATTTGTGAAGAATTGAGGACACAAAGCACTTTGGGTTTGGAGGTCAGCAAATTAATGAAGAAGGTGTTTCTACAACCTTCTCGGCCCTGAGTTCCCCATCTCTGGTGATAAGGGGGCCTTTCGCTTCCAGGTGCAGGGAGGGTGCTGTCCACATAGGTGGGCGAACAAGGGAAGGACAGAGGGACAGGGGAGTGTCCTTCTGGCACCAGTGTTTCTTAAATAACTTCAATTCAAAATAATAGGCCAAAGTGACATCTTTTGGGGCAGTCTGCCCCAAACCCCATCACAAGTGTATGACCATATCTCGTCTGCACACCACCCATACTGTCAAGGGGCGGCAATGAGGTTTCACGAAACACAAAGCCCATCTTTCTCAGGCTCTCCTTCCGTCTTCCTCCTCCTCTGCATCCACTCATTCTTCTCCCAGCGTTCAGTCCCTATCCTCTAAGTCTCTAAACACCTCCCCCGTCTTCTTTCTCATGTTCCTCTAGATGGAAGCTTTCACCACAACCTTTCTTGTTCCTCTGCCGTTCTCTTTCTTGTTCAGCTCATTTCTAACTGTACTTTCCCCTCATCGGATGCATGCCCAGTATCAAAGCTTCAGCAATGCGGAAGTATACGATGTCAATGAACATTTTCCCCGGAAACACCCTCTCTTCTGCCCATCCCTTTCCCCAGAAGGAGCCTCTGTGAGTACTTGGATGTACATTCTTCTGGACCTTGCAGAAGCAGAGACATAATTTCGTAGCATGGTTTTGACTACAGTAGTCCTCCCCTTATCTGAGGGGGGAAGGGTGTGTCCTAAGATACCCATTGGTTGCCTGAAACTCCAGTATCAAACCTTACACATACCACGTTTTTTCCAATACATACATGCCTGTGATAAAGTTTAGTTTATAAATTAGGTACAGTAAAAGGTTAATAGCATAAGTGCTAATAAAATAGAATAATTGTAATGATGTACTGTAATAAAAGATAGGTTATTGGGGTCTCTCTCTCTCTCTCTCTCAAAATATCTCATCCTATACTTATTATCCTATCCTTCTTGTGAGGATGTGAGATGATAACATCTCTACATGATGAGACAAAGTGAGGGGAATGACTAGGCACAGTGACGCAGCACAAGGTGACTGTTGACCTTCTGATGATACCAGAAAGATTGTCTGCTTCTGGACCGAGTTTGATCAAGAGTAACCAGAACCACAGATAAGGGGTGACCACTCTCCAGCTTTAGGCTGATAACACCCAATTTATCCATCTGACCTTGACCATCCTCCCATGTCCTAGTACTTCATAGCCCACGCCTTGTGGGCATTTGCCTCGAGCTAACTCTCAGATCCCTCAAACTCCAAATGCTTAAGACCAAATTCATCTTTCTCCAACTTTGCTTCTTCTCTGTGTTCTTGGCCTGGGTCAATGGCCTCACCATTCAGTTAAGCAAGATGGAAACCACATTCTCATCTTGACTTCCCTCTTTCTGTCTCTGTCTCTCTTTCTCCTTCCCCTTCTCTCTCATGAAAGTTAAGCACGAGCCGCCATAATCGGTCCACTCCACCGGTGTATCCATGTTCACATCCTGCCTATTTTCCTCTTCCTGTTGCCTCTACCCCGGCCTTAACTCCCTCTTGCATGACCTAAAGTGACACCCTTCCCTGCTTTCCATTGCTGGTGGCTACCTCCGTATATCCTCCTTCCCCCAGTACCATTGTACCCCTTCTCCTTCCCACTTCATTCAACCTGCAATGGCCCACATCTGGAGAATAAATCAACAGCAATCCCTTTCCCCCCAGAAAAGATTCTCACTTTCCCAGACTCGTTTGCACCAAGGGGTGGCAATGTGATCCCATCCTGGCCAATAAGACAAAAAGGGCAAATCTGGAAAGAGGCTCAACATGAAGAGAAAGACCTCCGTGCCCCTCCCCAGCTGTCATCATTTTCATTTATGTTTTAGAAGTTCAAGCTCTCTGGGTTGGCATAAACTCTTTAGACTCTATGACCCAGCCGCCAACTTCTCTTTCTGCCAACACTACTCACTTCCCACTGCATACCTCATGCTGGAGCTTGGGGGTGGGATGCCCAAGCCCAGGGACATCTTCCTTGGCAGCTGGTATCCAGACATGGCCCCAAGGCTGCCCAGTCTCCCAGCAGTCACGATCTGGTGCATCCCCTTCCCTGAATCTACACTGGTCCCATGAAATAGCTTAACTCCTAGATCCTAGAAGATGATCTGGTGTTCTGCCAATCTACACCAAGATGACCCAGCAGGTTCCACCTTTGTGTCTTCAGTTTCCCTAAGAAGCAACCCACCCATCCTGAGACCATCACGCTTTGAGGCAGTGTCAGCTAACCACAGGGGAGGTCATGTGGAGGAGAGCAGAGAATTGCAGCCAACACAGAAGACCACGGCCTCAAAGTCATGATGGAAGTTGAACCATTCCAAGAAGTCCCCACCCACTTGTGTCCAAATGGAGCAAAGACAAGCCAGGGCCGTTGTGCTGAAAATGTAACAGACAGCCATGTTTCCGGATCATGCTCAACTCATTTTCTCTTTCTTGCGGATGACTGCCACTCTCCTGTGTCCACACTCCGCTTCTATTGCCCTCGGCCTGGGTTATCTTTCCTCTGCATCCAACACATCCCTTCCTCCAAGATTCATCTTGAATGCCACCTCTCCCGTTAAACCGCCATTACACCGAGCCCACATAGTTGGGTAGGCTGACCCGGCTTCATTCATCTCCCTTTTGCCGTAACAGCTCACCATTTTGTTGGGATGCGTGACCCCTCCTTTTTGGTGGAACCGACGATCAGCTTGTCCCCTTCCCTCTGTCCTGGGTGGAACATAAAACCCAGCTGGAACCAGTGAGCGGCTCCCACCTTCCAGGGCAGATCCTGAGATGGGAGACAGAAAGATCTGCAAATGGCATGCCGGCCGGACCACATCTCCTTCTGGCCAGGCCTCCCCAGGTGCTCAGACCCCTGTTCAGCTCGAGAGGGGAAGCTTCAGCTTTTCCTTGGAGTGGGCACCTCCCTGTACCACAGACACTGAGCTCACTGGTTATTCCATTTGTCCCCGTAAGTTTCCCAGCTCCCTGCCATGAGGCAGGCCATGTGACTCATTCTGACTGATGGCAATAGATAGAAATGACACATGTCACTTTCAGGCTGAGGCAGTAAAAAGCCCCCAAGCCAGCCTCCAGGCTCTAGACACCCCTGCCCAGTCCCTGAGGCTTCATGTTTGGGTGATGTGACTACAAAGTTGGGGGCCTCTGTTCGTCTGAGTCCCCAAGCAAGTGTAGAGCAGAGCCTCTGTGGACCCACATGGGATGTGTGGCATGCCTTCCAAGTAACACGTGGGGGATGTTTCTTATAGCACCTTGACCTTGACTATCCTGAATAATAAACATATGCCCAATATCCTTCCAATAACCTTTTTTTTTTTTTTTTTGCTTAAGGTATCCAGAGTCTGTCTCTGACACCCAAACTAGCTTAATTGGTAAATTCTAAGACAACTTAGCAGTTTCTACACTTAACTAATGGGTACCTATCTTATTTTTTTTAATCAGCTATTTTTTAAATCAAACTGACTATGGGGACAAAGACTCATCTTCGCATCCTAGCACCCTGCGCTATGCCTTCTAAGGCTCTTGATCATTCCTTAGGAGGAAGGCAAAAAATTAAATGAAAATGAAAAATGTGATGAGTCAAGTAGGTGCTTTCTTTTTAACCTTGGTTTCCAAAACCATTTACAAGTGAGGTTTTCTGTTGTTTTTTTTTTTCCCCCGAGCAAAAAAGGGGCTTTTATTATAGTACTTGGACAGGACCCATGGACAGAAAGAGCTGCACTGGGATTGTGAGGAGTAAGTGATTATATACTTTTTAGTTAGTGGGGATACAAGTGAGTTTTAATTAAGAGATTTGAAAATATGATGATGCTTCTATTTTATGATAATAGTGCTGTATATATATATCATGTATCTCTACATATTATATATATCATACTGCATATTATATCCTATATATCATATAAATCTCTATATATCATTTTTATATATCTCTGTATATCAGAGATCGTAAATATTTCTCATATTATCACCGGTTGTCATACATCAAGAAAACTTTACTAAATGCCAAAGACTAAAAATACTTTTGAGACATCAGAACAACAACAATATTCACTGAGCCCTTAATTCATGACCGGTTGTTGGTTTTGTGTCCCTATCCCACCGACCTCCAATCCTGATATCTAACCTCATATTGTAGACAAGGGAAGAAGCAGCGATTTGGAAGTATTTGTTGTTCCTAAAGGGATTCATAATTTTCAAATCAGAAAAAAAAAAAATAGGGCACCTGGGTGGCTCAGTGGGTTAAGCATCCGACTCATGATCTCAGCTCGGGTCTTGATCTCAGTGTGGTGGGTGCAAGCCCTTCATCGAGCTCTACGCTGGGCATGGGAGCCCACTAAAAAAATAAAAATTGTTCCAGGAAGCTGCTGAGCCAATGGAGAACTGCTGAAAAGATGTAATTCTCTGCTTTTGTCCATTTTAAAAGAAATGCATGTGCAAAAAAAAAACCGATTTACAACCTGCACCCAATAAGAGAAAGAGAGAGAGAGAGAAATATTTTCATTGTAGTAAGCTTTAAGAGGATGGCAGGTAGGGGGGCGCCTGGGTGGCTCAGTGGGTTAAAGCCTCTGCCTTTGGCTCAGGTCATGATCCCAGAGTCCTGGGATCTCAGTGTCCTGGGATAGAGCCCTGATTGGGCTCTCTGCTCAGTGGGGAGCCTGCTTCCTCCCTCTCTCTGCCTGTCTCTCTACTTGTAATCTCTATCTGTCAAATAAATAAATAAAATCTTAAAAAAGAAAAAAAGGATGGCAGGTGGGAGAGGTGAATAAATTTAAGTGTGTTTGAAATCAATGCTTCTCACACTTTCTTGTCATTCACCTGCAGGTCTTGTTGAAATGCAGACTCTGCTCCAGTAGGTCGGTGAAGGTGGGGGGAGGTGGGGGGGTGCATGCTGGGTGGGGAGGCACCTCAGTGTCATCTTCCCAGAGGTCTCTCAAGCCCCTCGGTGGGATGCGATGCTGCTAGTTCACCAACGACCACCGTCGGAAGAGCAAGGAAGGGATACCCCATTGTGATGCGAACGGGTCACCAAAGTTTCTAGAACTCTTAAAAGGCCTATGTGGGAGGCCACCCGATTTGGGGTTTTGAGTAGCTTGCCTTGAATTCAACCTTTGATTCCCTTTCTTGGTCAGTCCCTTGGGAGATCACGATGACCTTGCATCTTGTCTGGAAACCTCCCCTGGTAGCTTTGCTATGGCTTTTGAGAACAAAGCAGGGTCCCGAGAAGGAAAAGTAAGTGTAACAAATTCTCCATACTAAAACGTGAGCACTTTACTGATATTTAGCTTGCTTTATTTATTTATTTATTTATTTATTGGCACTTTTTAAAAATTTGATTTTATTTTTTCAAGATTATTGTTCCAAGATTCATTGTTTATGCACCATACCCAGTGTTCCATGCAATACGTGCCCTCCATAATACCCACCACCAGGCTTTCCCAACCCCCTGCCCCAAAAACCTCAGTTTGTTTCTCAGAGTCCACAGTCTCTCATGGTTCGTCTCCCCCTCTAATTTCCCCCAACTCACTTCTCCTTTCCTTCACCCAATGTCCTCCCTGTTATTCCTTATGCTCCACAAGTAAGTGAAACCATATGATAATTGACTCTCTCTGCTTGACTTATTTCACTCAGCATAATCTCCTCCAGTCCCGTCCATGTTGATACAGAAGTTGGGTGTTCATCCTTTCTGATGGAGGCATAATACTCCATTGTATATATGGACCATATCTTCTTTATCCATTCATCTTTTGAAGGGCATCTTGGCTCTTTCCACAGTTTGGCGACTGTGGCCATTGCTGCTGTGAACATTGGGTACAGATGGCCCTTCTTTTCACTACATCTGTATCTTTGGGGTAAATACCCAGTAGTGCAATTGTAGGGTCATAGGGAAGCTCTATTTTTAGTTTCTTAAGGAATCTCCACACTGTTTTCCAGTGTGGCTGTACCAACTTGCATTCCCACCAACAGTGTAATTGGGTTCCCCTTTCTCCACATCTTCTCCAACACATGTTGTTTACTTTCTTGTTAATTTTGGCCATTCTAACTGGTGTACAGTGGTATCTCAATGTGAGTTCAGTTTGAATCTCCCTGATGGCTAATAATGATGAACATTTTTTCATGTGTCTGTTAGCCATTTATATGTCTTCTTTGGAGAAGTGTCTGTTCATGTCTTCTGCCTGCTTTTTTTGACGTGATTATCTGTGTTCTGGGTGTTGAGTTTCAGGAGTTCTTTATAGATCTTGGAGATCAGCCCTTTTTCTGTAGTGTCATTTGGGAATATCTTCTCCCATTCAGTGGGTTGCCTCTTTGTTTTGTTGACTGTTTCCTTTGCTGTGCAGAAGCTTTTGATCTTGGTGAAATCCCAAAAGTTCCTTTTCTCTTTTGTTTCCTTTGCCTTTGGAAACATATCTTGAAAGAAGTTGTTGTGGCTGATGTCGAAGAGGTTACTACCTATGTTCTCCTCTAGGATTTTGATAGATTCCTGCCTCATGTTGAGGTCTTTTATCCATTTCGAGTTTATCTTTGTGTATGGTGTAAGAGAATGGTCGAGTTTCATGCTTCTACACATAGCTGTCCAATTTTCCCAGCACCATTTATTGAAGAGACTGCTTTTTTTCCACCGGACATTTTTTCCTGCTTTGTCAAAGATAATTTGACCATAGAGTTGAGGGTCCATCTCTGGGCTTTCTACTCTGTTCCAGTGGTCTGTATGTCTGTTTTTGTGCCAATACCATGTTGTCTTGGTGATCACAGCTTTGTAGTAAAGCTTGAAGTCAGGCAACATGATGCCTCCAGCTTTGTTTCTCTTTTTCAATATTTCCTTAGCAATTCGGGGTCATTTCTGGTTCCATACAAATTTTAGGATTGTTTGTTCCAGCACTTTGAAAAATGCCAGTGGAATTTTGATTGGGATGGCATTGAAAGTGTAGATTGCTCTGGGCAGTACAGACATTTTAACAGTGCTTATTCTTCTGATCCATGAACATGGAATATTTTTCCATGTTTTTGTGTCTTCTTCAATTTCTTTCATGAGTGTTCTGTAGTTCCTGGAGTATGGATCTCTTACCTCCTTGGTTAGGTTTATTCCCAGGTATCTTATGATTCTTGGTGCTATAGTAAATGGAATTGATTCTCTAATTTCCCCTTCTGTATTTTCATTGTTAGTGTATGAGAAAAAAAACTGATTTCTGCACATTGATTTTGTATCCTGCCACGTTACTGAATTGCTGTATGAGTTCTAGTAGTTTGGGGGTGGAGTCCTTTGGGTTTTCCATATAAAGTATCATGTCATCTGTGAAGAGAGAGAGTTTGACTTCTTCTTTGCCAATCTGAATAATTTTATTTCTCTTTGTTGTGTGATTGCTGTTGCTAGGACTTCTAATACTATGTTGAACAAGAGTGGTGAGAGTAGGCATCCTTGTCGTGTTCCTGATCTCAGCAGGAGGGTTGTCAGCTTTTCCCCACTGAGGATGATAGTCGCTGTGGGTTTTTCATAGATGGATTTTATGAAGTTGAGGAATGTTCCCTCTATACCTACACTCCGAAGAGTTTAATCAGGAAAGGATGCTGCATTTTGTCAAATGCTTTTTCTGCATCAATTGAGAGGACCACGTGGTTCTTCTCTCTTCTCTTATTGATTTGTTCTATCTCATTGGTTGATTTGAGAATGTTGAAGCACCCTTGCATCCCATGGATGAATCCCACCTGGTCATGATGGATAATCTTTTTAATGTACTTTTGGATCCTATTAGCTAGGATCTTGTTGAGAATCTTGGCATCTATATTCATCAGGGATATTGGTCTGAAATTCTCCTTTTTGG